ACTTCCGGAGAGTCCGTGGATTGGAAGGCTTGGATAAGCCGATGATAAGCCAAGGCCTGAATTCCGGGCTCAGGACATGCCCCGCCTGTCTCCATGCTCCACAAAGCAGCAGTGGTATCTGTAGAAGCAGTTGCAAAAACCTCTCCGGTCTGCCACACCAGCTGCAAGCAGCACCCGTCACAAAGGCTCGCCTCCTGCGGAAAGAAACCGGGGATGCAATTCGCCGCTTGGCTCTCCGAAATGGGCGGCGCCAAGAATAGTTTTGGGAAACTGGCTCGCGAAAGAGACAGTGAGCGCCAACCCTGGGTAAAACAAAGGCAGCAACTTCTAACTCACTATACCCGCTGATGCGAAGCTGATCTTGGGGACTCACATGTGAGCGGAGCGAAGTCCGCGACTGCACTCATCCTCCCCAGCCGGAACCAAAATTTGAACCAATCGAGCTACCTTGCAAGAGGCTCTGATGGGTCAATTAAACTCATCTTTGCTGTTCTGATCAAAGCTGAATGAAGAAGCCACATCCTTTGGCTTCATCTTCATCATAGAACAGCAAACGGATTCCTCAAATGTTCAGTTTCAGGTTTGGGCGCATGCGGGAAACCAGCCCTTCTATAGCAAAGTAGCCCACTAGACTACTTTAAACTTGGCGTTGAAGAGGAGTCCCTTGGTACCAAGGGCCTTACTTCCATTATCAAATCATTCTGTACCAAGGGAACCCTCCTAACAACTTTTCCATTTGGGTGTGAGTCAAAAATAGGGTAACCCCAAAATGGCATGGACAAACATGCACTAAAATCTCCGGTCCACCATTCCTGGCAGTGAAAAAAAAAGAGACCCACACCCACATCCAAACAACCAAGGTTGACCTGAAGCTGGGCGATCGGACAGCGACTGAAAACTACGAACGTGCCCCACCCATACCCATTTGGCCATGGGTCAAAATCCAAATCGTACCCCCAGTGAACATCCCAATCCCCACTAAAAGGGTAACCCAAAATGGGTGGTGAATTCACCTACCAACCAAAATGGGATCCCAAAACGGTTTTGACAACCACGGCCATTTTTTGAAGAGGCGTTTCCAGGTCTCGGATCCTCCAAGGTCATGCTGCCGCTGAGCATGCAGCACCCCGCCAGCAGCCGGAAGCGCCGCACTTGGCCCAACTGCCGCGTCAGCTTCTGCCGCAGCACCGCCACCGTGTCCTCAGCGCAGTGTACAAGGGATAGAATGGAGCTGTGGGGTACTTTTCAAACTAGGTGGACGGAGCAGAATGTGAAGTTGCTTCCCGATTCGTGGAAAGCAAAGAGGGTACCAAGCGCATAGTAAGACTCAAAGAGGTTGCGACCTGCGGTCCATGAAAGGGCTCAACTGGATGAGCTTCAATGCATGTGGGGCTCATTTGATTCCCGAGCCTTCCGAAGCAACCCTGGGTGAAGAGGACGACTCAAGGATTCTGGGCTTGGACCCTGCAAGATTAAGATGGAACCCAGATGTGGGCGCCCATCTCCCATAACTCAATAATATAAGGTTCAGGGGAACAACTAGCTCCTGGAAAGTACCGCTTACGCCCAAGGCCGAACACATTCTGATCCTGAGTGTGTTTAGAGAATCGTGACTCCGCCGGGATAAGACGCCTCCACGTTCAACAAGCGATCAACGTCAGGCGGAAGTCAAGAAGGCCGCAACTGGACCTTCTAAATGGCGAATGGATGCTGATTCACCCAACTCCCCAATTGATCTGGGATCCAAACTGTCAAAAAAAAGGTTCATGGCCCCACATTGTCACAGGGAGCAAGCCATGCCTGTGCCTTGGACAAGCAAGGACCGCCTGAGCTACGGCTTGCCTATGCTCTCGAATCCGTCTCAAGCTGCGCAAGTTCCAAGGGGCGATCGCGATCCATTCTCAGAACCATCCATTGAAGATTGACAGCATAGCAAAAGATTGCAAACCCGCAAAAGCAGAGCATGGCTCAATGCCCTTTGAGCCAAAATGGGAAGAAAAAGAACATGGGGACATGGAGGGGGCTGGAGATTTTCGTATCTTCAATGTTCAGCTTTGCTGAACCAGGCCATAGAAAAAGGCACGGCCAAGAGCGACTATGGATAGCATCTCTGTCAAGATGCAATTATATAACCCTTCCGAGATGGTGATCGCAGCCTGAACAGCTGTCAGAGTTCCCTCGTATGTTCCCTGCGAACATTACCCCTCCCAAATTATTTAGCAAAGTTAGCTACACTTGGCCACCAAGACAGAAGCATTGCTATGGCTGGAAACATGCAATTGGCGAACCCAAATGCCCTTGTGGTCAAGGAAAACATGACCCTCCACCCTCTCTCAACGCTCTTGAACCGCCCCCCTCGCAAAATTTTGGGCCCTCACCCACTTCGCTGAATGTACCCGGTGGGCAAATGCCTGGTACCCCTCCAGGGAGACCAGGAGGTCGTTGGCTTAAGCATGTTTGAACAAGGGGTTGGCCCATTGTTTAGTCATGCCCTTTACCCACATCTACCGGGAATTCTGCCATCTACTTTTATGGCCATCTACTTTTATGGCCACAAACTCCCAAAAAGACGGGGCCAAGCCGCGCATGGCAGCGCGGTGACGCTGCAGATGCGCTGGCCTTCCACTGCGGAACAAACGTGAAGCCTCGGCGGAAAAGCGGAGGCGGAAGGCTTCATAGCCCGTGGCCCGACTCCTTTGGCTTTTGCGCGTTTGGCTACATCCAATGATGCAATGCTGGGGTGCACTTGAATATCCACACCATGGGAATTCAACGTGGTTCAAATGCCCGGGTGCATGGTCTCTGCTGCTCTTGCTGTCTCTCTCTCTCTCTCGCCCTTTTTTTTCTCTCGCTCTCTCTCTCTCTCCCTCCCTCTTCAACACTTGTGGAAGCTGACCCCTTTGCCTTCAATTCTATCATCCAAGACAGGGTAGGGAATCTTTGTCTTGACAGTCAGCTTATAGTGTCTTTGGTGAAACCCGCGAAGCGCAAACTAGCTTCTCCACCGCAAGCCAAGCTCCATTCTCGAGCCGAGGTGCGTCCATTCCCGAGACTCCGGTTCCATAGGGCTTCTGGCACTCACGGAAACCAAGCCAGGGGAAGGTCGAGACCGAATTCTACCTGCGAATGCGAATGCATATAGAGCAGCCTTCAACAAGACACTGTCGAGGCTCTGAGCTCGCTTTGCGATATGCTGCAACGTTGTCACACTGTGAGTGGGATGTTTGGCAAGAATTTGCCGAGCTGCGGTGGTCTTGCTTTGTGTTGCTAAGGCTTGCTTGCATGCTTGACTGCTTGGCCTGCTTGCTTGCAAGAAGACTCGACCTCGGCAACTGCATTCCTGAGATGTCTGCTGAACACGAACATTATTTGGCTTTTGGCCTCCACGTCAGCTGTGAGTCGAGCTCTGTGCGTTGGTCAGCAAATGGAGCTGCGAAAAGAAGACGGATAGAAGTTCTGGACGTGCCTCAAAAACGTTAGTTTGCCCGGAGGAGACCCTTTTGGTTCTGCCACTGATCAGGGATCCAGGAATGGCTTCACAGAAAACAGGCCAAGCCGTAACATAGGTGTCACTCAAAGAAACCGAACTATCATGGCCTGTCTGTGAACTAAAAGGACTCTGTGCAGCAGCTTACCACGCTTCGTGGCAATGCGGCAAAGCATCTGCCTTCGTCCGTATCAGTAGCGCTTCACAACCAGGCAAGGAGAGAATGTGGTTTGCCATGGTTTGCGATGTTTTGCCAGTGGTGCCATGGGTTGCCATGCTTTGCATGCCATGGTTTTCCATGATTTGCCACGTGCTGCCATTGTTTTGCAATGTTTTTCCAGTGCCCATTTAACATGCACAGCGACCAACAAGTTGCAATGAGCAACACAGTGCGTACAAGCCACCCAGCAAGAGTTGAGCAGCATGGTCTCTTCGATTCGAAACTAAACAAGCTGTTCCTTCGTTGCTTTGTTTCAGCTGTTCAGAGTGACCATCTCATCTATCGTTCAATCAACGCACTTGGCTGGTCCTACAATTCCCCTTTGAGCATAATCCTAAGCAAACGCTCAATCAACAACCCCGGCCCGAAAGGTTCTGAAATCACCAGAGAAAGGACAGTTGGCCCTGCTCAAAGACGGCCACACCTTTTCCTCTGGTCGGTGAGTCCGAGTTGCCTGCAACGGCCAGCTGAGCTTCGAATCAGCAGCTGATTGGAGTTCTGATTGGCAAATCGTTCTTTGCCAAATAAGCTGCTACTTACATCTCCCAACTGGACGTACCCACCAAAAGCATGCTTCTGGGGTGGCATCTGATATGCTGCTATCTTACCACCTTACAACTTCAGGTCTCACAGCACAAAAACAACAGACTAACCGCCTGACCCTACCAAAATGCCCAATGCAGAGTGCCGCCTTGGAGTCAACTGGATGGGTTTTTGAACCGAAGGAACCTCCGCTGCAGAATGCCAAAAGTTGTGGGGCACCAAGGATGGCAAAAATCAGCTAAAAAACCCAAAGCTTGGCCGATTGGGCGACGTTCGTGTTCAGCTTGGGACTCTTGCACAAACATACCAGGACCCAAGTCGTGTACACCAGGCACCCTTCCCATCCTTGATCACCGTTCGAACTTGGGGATCTGGCTCAGCTTGCAAGCGGCAGGCGGCTAATGTCAGCTACGCTCAAAACCCGGTGACAGTGGCTTCTGCCGAGATGGCTCTGAAGCCTCGTTTGGAACCTGCAAACAAAACCGTAACGTCCCGGGTTTTTGGGCATCGCTCCTTGTGCTAAGGACCTTGGGTCTCGTTTGAGACAAGTCCAGAGCTCCGCTCCCAGCATCTTTCGCCAGCGCGGAAGCTTCTGATTTGAGCGGCGCTCACGGCTGGAAACAGACTGTTGTTCAAGTGCTACTGTGGGTGGACGAAATCTTTGAAACCATAGCAAGCCATTGTTTGTTGGTATTTACAGGGGAAGCATCACCCCAGGGTTTTCTATTTGGTGCAGGATTTCGTGCATCCACAGTACCAAATACATGGGCCTGCTAAAAGCTTCTGCCACGAAACCCTAAAAACCAAAAAGCTAAGAGGGTGGCACCGCGCATGACCCGAACTCAAGTGGCCAACAGCCATTTCCGGCACTGCTCATGTGGATATGAAAGCAACATTGGCGCAGGCTGAGCGGGGTGGATGATGAAGATTGGAAGCAAAGTGCACGGTAGGCCATGCTTCACTTAAACTTGCTGCAAACTAGAATAAGCCCTGAGTAGATGCTCATACACGTGCCGTTCGTCATGCTTGGGCTATCAGGATGACGGCCGACAAACCCACACTGAAGAAATCGAAACCTCATCCAAGCGCTGTGTGAAAACCATTTCTACAGTTCCTTGGGCGGACAGGGCCCGGCTCGATGGAAGTGGCAAACACAAGTTTGTTGCATTCAATTCTCCCACACTTCATGATGCACTTGCTATCTATCTGGTTTACTACCGCGTTCCCAAAAAACATACATATGAACACGCCAACACTGCGCCCCGCGCATCCTTCCCCCATTTGCGGACGCCGGAGGCAAATGTCTCAGAGGCCGAGCAGCCGCCGTTGCCTCGGTTGAGAAAAAAGGGCCCGGGATGGGGGGGGGGGGGGATTCTCAGAAAAGATTTCCACACTACTGACGATTCCCTTTGTTTCCCCAAGAGGGCGCAATGGCAAACCTCAGCAAGATGCCAGCCTGGTACACATACAAAAAGTCGGAATCAGCCCCTCCGAATGGGAGAGCCACGAGATCGCGGTCGCGTGCCGATCGGCGTTTTTCGGATGCCCTTTTCTTGCAGCCGTAAGGCTTCCCCCGAATCGAAGTTGATGGGTTTCGACCCCACCCGAGGTGCCGACTGCTGCAGGAACTGAAAGACTTGCTTCGCCTGTTGCGCGCGTTTCGGAGTGTCCTATACATTGGCCCGTGTATATATATATATATAATATCTGATGATAAATTTGTCCCAGCCCGCCTTAGATCAGGCAGTCGCAATCATTGCTTGAAATACTAGGGTCTGATCGAATACATACCATATAGTAGCAGAGGCACATATTGTTTTTGTCAAAGCTGGTGACCCTAAATGGAAAGCCAAGTTTCTCACACCGTCTTTTTCGTGGGAGCCCCGTCCTCTTTCCCAAGCCTCTTCATCTTCCCATCCGAGAAAACCGAGCCCGTGGTGGCGGCCGGCCTTCTCTTGGCAGTCGGGGTTCTTGTCCGGATGCCATCGGATGAGCAGATCCTTCACCTTCGCCTGCAGGATTCCCCCACCGGGCCAATGCCTACTTCATTTGGATGGACGAGGGTAATTTTCAGGCACACCTAGAGTTGCTCCGCCGAAAGTGCCTTCATTCAACAGCTGGCAAGATTGACAAGATGTCCCTGCTTCCCAAGTCTTGGGAGAGCGAGTTGCAAGCATGGAGCTAGGACTTCTCGTTCATCTACCATAGTTCGTGGTTTACTCGCAACGTACTAATTAGTGCCAAAAGGTATTTCCCGCTGCACACAGCTCTCCCGAAGCTCTTCAGTTTCATGAAAAGACTGTACCTTGAAGATTCCCTGGGCTCTCGCACAGGGCAAGCCACTCCAAACAGTCTGAAAAGTTGCAAATGCCTTCTAGAGCGTCCAACCTTTTAATGCCCTCTAATGAGAAGCACGTTGAGATACTATCAACTGCCACCCACATATTCCACAATGCATTAAGGGGAAGGATCGAAGAAATGGATGTGATTGAATCTAGTTCGCCCCTCAAGTTGAAAGCTGGCAAGGGCACATGCCTGGCAGTCTGACCTTAGCAGATCGCAGAGATTCCGCGAAGATCTGGGTGTTTGGCTTAAAAGGGAAACAACCGGGAAAACCACCATTTTACGACAAAAGACATACCCGTCTGTGGACCAAAGCCAATCCAGAAGTCAAAGGGTCGGTCGATCCCTTCGGACTGAGCTTACACGGACGTTTCACCGAAGATCGCCATGCGCCTCCCTAAACATGCCCAACTTCTTTGAAACCCTGGCCATGTGGAACCCTTTGGAGGCTGAGTTCCCTAAATTAAGCCAGAACTACCGGATAATCAACCCACAAACTAAGGGTTCGTACCGGGGCTCATATGGACATGTTACATTCAGCCTTTACAAACAAGCTCATGCGTTGTGCATTTAGAGCAGGGGGCCACAACTCATGTGTCCAACTCTCCGAATCGCATCGCGTCGATGAAGCCTTCTGCAGGTCCTTGGAGGCGCTCTGCACTGACTGCAGTTCCTGGCAGGCGGGAGAGGGAGCCTTCTACTTTTCATACGCGTGTCTTTTAGGAGACCCCCAAAATGGTGTTGTTCCTATTGGTCTCCCTGTAAAAAAGGGTGCCCTCAACAACAGACATTTCTAGGTAGCTGTTGGTCAAGAATAGGGTAACCTCAAAATGGCTTGCCCTGGTACATGGAACCCAGGCCTACAACTTGCGGTCCAACTCCTGGTGGCTTTATTTTCCCCCATTCCCACTTGTAGAGATCTGAGCCTGTGTATGTCATGTGAAGCTGTCTTTGGGCATGTCCCTTCCAGCAATCAGTTCACATAAAACCACCACCATTCTTCACATGAAACCAACATCATCCCACCATTCGTTTGGTCCAAGAGGATGATGCTTTAGCCCTTCCATTCAGAACCCAATGCGATGCAAATCACAAGGCAAGCGCTCGGGCGCTCGAAGCCACAACTGCTGGCTGAGCGGCGCCCAGAGTCGACCAGGGAAGCCAGTGTAGTATGGGCTAAAGAAACATGTCTAATGGGGAAAAACAAAAACTAATAACGTATATGTGAAGCCCGTGTAGCATAAAGCCAGTGTTATACAGTACATGTAATTGCTCCTACTGAATTTGGCTCTACACCGCTATTTTCCGTCAACTTGAGTGCTGCCTTTCTCCACCATGAATATGCTTCGGGCTATTCGACATCACGGTCGAAAGAAAACCAGGAGATGAACATTTTACTCCCCCGACTCATCCTCTGCAAACCGTTGACTTTGTTTGGCCATTTCAGGCCAGGAACAGTTCTGACAAACAAGAAAATGCCGGCTTCCTAGATTGCGGGTTCCATTTGGAAGACCAATAAGGCTCAGCTTCAAAACCAAAAAGTGTTTGGAGGCTTGGTCCCGGCCCACATTCTCTACCCATTGCACAAGAAAGCGGGGTGGTGTTTGCCGAAATTGTAAACCCGAAAAAACGATGGGTTTGCCTTGTTTTTCTTTCAAAATGAGGCAAACAAGGAAGGGTCCTCCCCACCAGCTAACCTCCACCTAGCCTCCTACACCTAACCTGCCTGATCTCCCACCTCACAAGAAGATCAGACCCGGTTGATTGCATGAGGACTCCAAGCCCGCGGGGCCCCTCGTACCTTCAGCAGCCCGCGCTCCTCGGAGCCCAGGCTGTTCCCTGACCAGGGCTTGGAAGCACGAGCAGCCCTCCCAATCTTTGGTTTTTACAATTTCCGCCCGGCCACGGAATAAAAAAACCCTCCCCCCTTTTGTTTTTTGGCTTCCCTGGTTTTGAAGGGAACCCCCCCCCCCTTCCCGGCCCTCAAAAAAAAAGGAGGAGCAAAAAGGTCCCCCGCCCAACCCGTTTCGGGACCCATCTCCATCTCGAGACCGCACCTGTCGGACCTTCTGGCACCGGCACCGCAGGCTCCCGGGGCCTCGAATCGAACCCGACCGCTTCACCAAGGAATGGTCCGATCGATCCAACAACTGGACCAACCAATCAACTAACAAACACTGGACCAACCAATTAAGCAAGCAGCCAAACAACCAGCCAGATCAGCCATCACTTCTCTAAGCTTCCACTGGTCAAGCAACTGTTTTTGGAACCCCGTGAAGGCAGCGACATGATCAAGCGACCAAAACTGGACCCGGCTCTCCGAGACGCAACTTCTGTTCCAGCAACGACTGCGCTTGCATCACAATTCAAAAACCAAGAAGCACAACATCTCCAGAGCGTCTTTCCAGTTTACTGAGTTACCTAGTTCACCATACGCTTGCTGCTAGAATACCTCCTAAGTCATGCGACCCCCCATGTCTGTGCCCCCACATTTACCATCCTCATGAATCGGTGGTTTGGATTGGTTGTTTGAAGGCTATCGGATGCCTTCTCATTTGGTGCAAACCAGGCTTAATTCCCAAACCAGACATCCAACCCAACCTGAAGCTGGCCGATGGGAAAGCGACTGAAACCTACGAAAGTGCCCCCCGGCGCCACGGCAGCGTTTAGCCAAAACGCAGCGCAAGGCTCACCGAGGCTGAGGCGGAGCCCGCTGGGACGCATAGAACCTCGGGGCTCGCCAGACGGTTCCGGGCCTGGTGGATTGCTAAAGATGCGGTTCCCCAGTGCAAGAGTTCCTAACTGAGCAACCCCCTATGTAATCCACCAATTGAATAATCCTGGGTTCCCCTTATTTAACACAGCAGAGCTGGCACATCTTCATTCTGGGAGGAGGTATGGAGGTTCCAAAGAAAGGCTATGAACGGTGAAGCTGCCATTTGAACCTTGGAGGTACATGGCCCAACGGGCAAGATTGCAGGTGCATCGTTGGCAGGCTTCTCACTTAACGCAACCAGGAGCAACATATTATGGGTGCGACTCTGTTTTGATTTAGGGTTGCTTCAGAGGTACGCCAAAACGAAGTTGCCCGAGTTTGAGACATTTCCGCATCAAAATGCACGGCATTGAGACAACTGAGGAGGGTGATTTGTTTAAGCCCCGCACTGCTCATCTGCCCGGGCGTCAACCTTCGCCTCGCACGTCGATCGGCTTTTTGGCAGAAACCCGTCCCTGTTTCGGGGTCCTTTGTCTTGACATCCGTTCCACATTTCCACCTCTGTTCAGTGTTGGCTAAAACTTCAAGCACTCTGCATGCCAGAACGGCCAGGGCTTGTAAATTTGTGCGAGACTGAAGTCTATGTCTGCCTCACTCTGTTCTAAGTTGGAGTGAGCTCATTTTTTGCAAAGGAGGTACAGTACTTGCTTCGGGCATTGAGCTTGCGGAAGCACAAGAAAATCCTGAGGATGCTTGGAGTACGGGCTGATCTCACACGCTGAGGTGTTGTTGTCTGTCAGCGGGGGAAAAACAAAAAACGCACATGGGAGATGCATGCGTTGCCAAGTGGCCATGAGATGTCAAACAGCATTGTCTGGGCGAACCAGCCGGTGCTAAGCAACTCACAGATTCCCATCGCATCAAACATGACTTCGCAAGTCCCAACTTCATGATATCAAACGAAATCCGAAGAATTGATGGGGTCTCCCGCCTTCTTCCGCCTGGCCGCGGCGCAGAACTCCGCCTCGCTGGCGAAGCGGAGCCTGAGGCTCGCGAAGGAAGGTGAGAGAATGAGAGGTGAAACGAGATGGGACACTTTTCCATCCGCCCCTGCCTAGAAACCTGCATTTGGGGACGGGATATGAGAAGAAAGGAAGGGACAGGAAAGGCATGAGAGAAAGAGAGATAGGAAATGAGTTCTTCCTCAAGCCATTTCTATCTTCTTCCTTCCTCATCAAATCCTTTCCGGTGTGGTTCGGTCAACCGTCAATCGGCGTCAACGGAGCTACCAGGGGTCCATTTGTCTGAGTACCCCAGAGGACTGAAACCCAGGGGTTCAGTTTATTCTCAAGAAATGGACCTTCCCACAGCTCCCCAATTGAAGCCTGCAGCTTCTCACAGAATTGGCAGATGCCAGAGGTTGCCCTCCAACATTCACGTTGCACCTTTGAAATGACAGACTGACTGACTGACTGACTGACTGACTGACTGACTGACTGGCTGGCTGGCTGGCTGGCTGGCTGGCTGGCTGGCTGGCTGGCTGACTGACTGACTGACTGACAGACAGACAAACAAACAGACGGACAGACGGACGGACGGACGGACGAACGACCGAAGGGACGAAGAAACAAGGCGGACACAGGCAAGGTGGAAAAGGCAGACAAGGCAGACAAGACAGACAAAGCAGATAACGGAGGATAAGGCAGATAAGGCAGGCAAGGCAGGCAAGGCAGACAAGGGAGGGGGAAATTCACAAAACCGCCCTTTCTGCATTGAGTAAGCTCAGCAGCAGGGGGGGACCCTTACTCGACGTTCTTCCCCTTGAATCGGAATACCACTGTCACTTGCTTGTAAGCACAAGAAGAAAAAACAGGTCCGCGAGGGAAGGGTTGATGTCCACCATTTCGGACCCCAAAGTTCATACTCCCAGAGTCCCATCTGCCCGGCCTCTCTGCCGCGAATGTTCTCTCCCACTCCTGCGCAGCACAAGTTCGTGCAAGTCGGAAATCCATAAATCTGCCATCTACACTTCTGCGAACCACTGTCTGTATTTGCGATCCAAATTCCTCCTGCGGAATCGCATGTGCGATATGCCTCTTTGCTTGGTGTTCCATGTGCCCTGCTGCGTCAGCCACCGCACATCACGAGCCGCGCCGGGCAGCAGCCGCAACAGCTGACATGTTGCCATACTGTGCGTTGGTTCCAAAATCCATTTCGCACCACCTGAAAAACCCTTGGGGGTGATGATTCCCCTGTAAATACCAACAAACAATGGTTTGCTATGGTTTCAAAGTGGTGCAGGATTTCGTCCACCCACAGTATTTTGGAAGCCCAAACAGTCTTGATTCGCTGACCGGACATGGAAAATAATGACACCAGCATGAAACAGGGAAGCTGCTGGAGCCTGTTCCCTGTTCCCTCCGTGCGCTTTTTTTCAGCCGGTTCATCAGCTTGCCCCCTTTTTCAGGTCTTTTTTGCCGTCTAGCATGGTCCTGGAAGAATATGTTCCATTCAAAGGGACCCTCTAGTTAGTGACCCAATCGAGCTTTGCACAAATACAAATCCTGCTGATTCCCTAGCCACGGCCCATCGAAGATGCCCGTTGCGTGAACATTCCGCACCCAGTTTCCCGAACAGGTCTCGAAACATCACCCATCAACTCACAGATTGGCCCTGGCAACCCAAAGGGCTACCATCCCATCCCGATCCCTTCGTCCGTGAACCGGCCTCGAACTGGCGGTGCCGGTCCCGCGCATAGTCGTCCACCCTGCGCCGCTCCTGGAAAAATCCGCAAGGATACCTTTCCAAGATTGATACTCATGTAGTGTCTTAACATCGGGGACCCGAAAAATGGGTTGTTTCCATTTGTTTCCCTTTAAAACCATCCCAAAAAGGGTGCCATCAAAAAAGGCCTTTGGGTAGCATGCTCATAGCGTGGACGTGTGAACCATGAGTCGAAATCTAAAGCTGCATTGGTTTTTCAGGGGATCCCAAAAGAAAAACGAAAAAACATGTTGGTCCCTTTGAAACCACCCAAAAAGGGGGTTACCCTCAAAAAAGTCACCCCCATTTAACATTTACATGTCCAGCGCACATTTGGATATCTCTCTGCATGCGTGCCAGTCAGCGATAAAATAGGTCGGTTGGTCGACTGTAACACAAAGGCTTGAAGAAAGCACCAATTATGCAAATCGGCCCAAACATATTCTGTCAGCAATGGTCAAATAACAATGATGCTCCCTGCTGTTGTCCTTCCATCCCCGCGCCCAACTGTTCGCCGATTTTCCACCGGTTTCTCATTTGCTCCGCGCTGGACGAGTCGGCTGTGCATCAGGCAGCCTGGGCGAAGAGAAGGTCGGAGGAACAGGAGGTCCGTCCCCGGCATGCAAATGCACGGATCCTTCATCTCAAGTTCATGCGCCATTGTCTGCAACGTTCGCCGGGATACCAACAACAACGGCCTCCCCACGCCAGCGCTCTTCGTGTTTTCCTCAAACATCACCTGGCTCTCTTTTCAACAAAACTCCAAAAAGAGATCCGCACTTGGAGATCCACCGGTCAACTTGGGGGATCCATGAGTGAGTACAATCGGGCTTATCCTCTCACCACCGAACGGTTCCCTTCAGTTGGATCCGTTGTCCCAAACTCACACCAGGTCCGTTTAAAAGGAACACATTCCAAACAAGGAACCTCTCCTCTTGGTGAAGGTGCAAAGGCTTGCTGGTGCTCAGTGGGGAATGACCCAGGGTGTTGGGAATGAACCGGAAGGGGATTCCCTCGAAGGAAACCGTGGGTCATTGTTGTTCTTGGGGTCATTCCTTTTCTCATTCCCTGCTGAGAACCAGCAACAAACATAGGTGTCCTTTTGGGGGTGTGTGAACCCGTAATTTGCGGACACATTCGTGGCTTAAGGAACAAACAGCGCGGTGCAGCACACATAGGTTATGAGCCCAAACGCCCCCTGACAAAGGCCAGCCATGGATCCAGGCATGCGGAGAAGGAGGGCGAGATCAGTGGATGTCGCCGGCATGGGCATCCTGGTGGCTGAGCCGGAGGGGGAGGTCACCACAACCGGCGAGGCCGCGGACGGGGTGACCGACGGCGAGGACCGGGGGAGGGAAACGGGTAGGCCGGCGAAAGTGAACCCGTTCTGGAGCGAGAAGGCGATCTTTCAAGGGTGCCCGAAGGGTCGGAGGAGGCAGGGAGATCAGGAAGGGTGGCAACATCCCGAGACGTTGAGCAGCGGGAGGTCTGAGTATTGGGAGGAAGTGAAAAGGAGCCAGCAGGAAGAACAAGAAGCGAGGTATGGGCAAGGAGATGAAGGGGACCTACGGCATGATCGTGTGGCGGCGGAGGTACGTCAGCGAGGTTGGTGCCGGGATCGAGCGGCGACAGCTGGGCCAATCGTTTTGAGTGGCGCAGCATCCAGCTTGGATGAGGAGGAGGTCAGCGCGAGCTGATGGGGCAGGAGAAGGGCGTGGACAAGAAGTGATGGCATAGTGGCCTTTTAGGTGTCCGCAGCCCAGTTTTACGGGGGGGCCCAATAGTGCCAACCGCGAGGTGGATGTAGGACATCCAGGGGGAGTGTGTGAACCCGTAATTTGCGGGCACATTCGTGGCTCAAGGAACAAACAGCGCGGTGCAGCGCACATAGGGGGAAATAGACGGCCCTGGTAGAAGATTAAACCATCAGGTAAACCAGGGCCATGTATTTCTCTACCAAAACAACCAAAAAGGACACCTATGGCAAAAAGCATACCCTCGCAAAGCCACCAACCCCGCCCCTCCCCACGCCCCACTCCAGGTTTCCGGCCGGCGCCGGCGCCGGCGCGGGCGCGGGCGCCAGCGCCGGGCTCGCCGCCTGCGGCGGCCGCAGGTGGTCCGGGATCCTCGGCGCAAACTTGGTTTTTGGGTCCGAGTCCCAGGAAGGGAAGAGCGGGATTTTGGGCATCTGATGGTCCCAGCAACTGAACAGACTCGCAAATCATCTGGTGTTCACCTTATAGCTGATGAAGGTCCCTGAACTGAGGAGTCCTCAACCTCGGCCGGTGAACACTTGTGCAGTTCGTGCCAAATCGTGTCTGACATTTGAGGGGTCCATCAGGTTATGCAACTCGTCTCCCGAAAAGGGAAACCAAAGCTGGTCGTTCTTCCCTGAAGTCCCAGTAGCTTTGGGCTCCAACACCAGCACTCGACTCAAAGGAGCTAGGGATCCACATCCGTCCATGCGCTCACGTCCGGCTGAGCCCCTGGCTTTGTCATCTGGATAGGCGCAGGCGCACCCACCGGCGCCGGTGCCTCACTGCAGTTTTCGGGGAGAAATTTCCTGGAAAACATCACCGGGAACAAAAAAAAAACTTGGTGGGAGAACCACCCAATCAGCACTTTTTTGAGAGGATGCTTTTTGAGAGCGGGCTTCTTTGAGAGGCCGGCGATTCTTGACATATTCGTATGGAAGTTGAGCTCCCTGGAGCTTCGCCTGCCTGTTTGAACCTGGGAAGTTGGCTCGTCTCTCGCCCCGTCTCTCCCTCGCTGCACATCCCAAAAAGGCATCGGCCAAGGAATGTGTGCCTTCCATGATCACCTAGAAAAACGGTTTGGATGCGGTGTGTGTGTGTGGAAAAGTCACCCTCTGTTGGCTTCTTTTGGTAGTCTTTTGGTACTCTTTTAATATCCGACAGCAAAAGTCACATCCAAACCGTTTTCTAGAGAAAAGCTTCCCTTCAATTGGCAGTTTGGCCTTGTGGTTTGGTGGCAACACAAAGCCCCTCCAATTGGCTGTTTCTGCTTGGGGAGGCTGTGATTGCAAATCGCTCCCTGAAAACAAAAAACAAAACACATCTACCTTTGAAAGCCGGATGGTGAAAAAAACAAAAAAAACTGTCATCCAAAATACCAGGCTGGTACTTGTTTGGGGTTTCCAGGTTCTAGCACCAAGGGCAACGTCGATCTGAAGTCGCGGGGTATCGGCGCCTTACCCTGGACGGCTTTCCCTACGCAGATCCATCACATCAGACCAAGGGCCGGCATAGGCACCGCCCCCACGGGCGCCGGCACAGGCGCTGGCCTAAGCGGGGCGTCCAAACGCTCCGGCAAAGCGCCAACTTGTGATGCCAAAAAAAGTTGGCTCGAGTCCCATACTTGGTCCCTTCGATTTCTCCATATCCCAAACAACCCAAACTGCCGGACAGACAGCCAGACAAACAAACCAACCAAAAACAATCTAACTGACAAAATGACTAACTAAATAACTAAGAACTAACTAACTAACTAACTAACTAACTAACTAACTAACTAGCTAGCTAGCTAGCTAGCTAGCTAGCTAGCTAGCTGACTAACTAACTAACCCAACCGAACCGATATCCAACCAAAAACTTTTGTTGGGAAAATCAGGCTGCATTGAGGTTCGCACGCTGGCGCGGGGCTCGGCGGGATCGGCCGCTGCGGCTTCGCCAGCTGCGGTTGGGGCTCGGGGAGCCAAAACCTGCGGCGTGGGGCGGGGGCCCAGGGAGTTGGGGTTCAGGGTTGTGGGGAGGGGGGGGAAGCCCAAATAAGCCCTAAGGCCTTAGGGCTTAATAAGGGCATCTTTGCCCCCCCCGCCCTCGACCCATCATCAAAACCTGGCAGTAAAATCGTCTACCCCAAAACCATCTTTAGAATTCAGAGCGCAAAATATCCACCCAAAGCTGATTCTCACTGGGCAACAGCCCCATTTTCTGGATTTCTCTTGGGCCGCGGGCATGCAAAGGGAGATGCTGCGTTCTTTGAAGCGCTCCATGGGCTGTGGCAGCGCGGACTCCGGCAGCTCCTGACCTCCGAGGTCAAACTTGTCCCCCCCTTGGCAAAGAGAAAGTAAAACGGTACAGTGAGCGTCTCTCCCCTCCCCCCTTCCCCCCCCCCCCCAAACCCCGGCTCTTGGCAAAATGTGCGAGTAAAACGGTAAATGGGTTGTGGCTGCTTCTCTCTTCAACGTCCTGCAAAATCTCAGAACGGTGAAATAATGTGCGGTGGCGGTGAAGCGAAGAAGGTTTCAGCTACGCCCCTTCAACAAGTAAAAGCTTCTTTGACCAGCTGCGCCGCGTTCCAAAGTCCCGGTGGGTTTGGTTGGATCATGCTGAGAAGATTACAAGTTGCAACAGTGCAAAGAATTTCAATGCCTCGCATAAACAAAACGCGGTCAAAGATGGGATCGCAAAGCTTACTCCTTGCCATGCTAATTTGGAGACATGGGAGTTCTGGATTCAACAAACCCTGGTTGATGAATTGGGGGGGGTGGGGGCCTCCCCTTTAGTGATTCCACAAGGAGTCGCATTAAACTGAACCCAAACTACTCCACTACTACAGCAAAGTATCCTCATTCCCTGTTTAACCATCCTACCGATCACAAACTGTTGAGCTACTTCTGTTGAATTGAACCAACCAGTGCATGCCTGTCCCATTCGTAAATTCATGGGAAGACGCACCCTTAGACTACTGTCCTAGGGCCTACCCTCCAAAGGACTTCTTACATGCAATTGCCCACTTTTCACGATTCTTTCCAAGCGGAACTGCCTCATCAAAAATCACGGATTGACCAACTTGAGGGGAACCATTTCCTCCCAGACACCCTGGGATTGCACCTGGTGTTTTTTTTTGTCTTTTTCTTTTTCTTTTTTCCGAGCTTGATTTGGTGGAGCATGGTGTCCACTGAAACGATCGCCACTCTTGAAGGTTCCGAAAAGCGAAATGGCTTGGGCTGAGTCCCCCGGCGGCTGTGGGAGATCCCCACGAAGCCGAGGTCGCTGGCGGCGCTCTGCAGGCAGGACCTGAGAGGGGGGTTGCGCTTTTTGAGGCACCACTGCACCCTGGGCGCTTGACTAGGTCCTCCAGTAGAGAGGTTGGAATTTGGGGACCAACTTTTTTCTGTAGACTATTTTAGCAGGGGAACCCAAAACCCCAAAGAAGCGTGAGGAAGGGCACTACTGGGGGACATAATTAAAATTGAATGGAACACTCAAGGGAAACCCACCCCCCGTGTTACTTGCCGCTGCGATAGGCAGGGAATGATCAAAAAATAAAAATAAAAATAAAATCACCCCGAGGAAAACCATCCCCGACTTGGTGTCCCTTCAGGGATCCCCAGGTTCATTCCCTCATTCCCTACCTGTCTGTCACATATGTCAACTCAACATGCGGGCCCACATCCTTGTGGCCTCCAAAGGTCCAGGCGTTCGTATATGAGCAGGCGACGATATCGAATTGGTTTGATCTCGTTTTGGACTCGCGCCTCCCAAGAATATGACAATCTGGTGCAGGGTGAAATGCAATAATGACAAAGGTAACGTAATATAGATGTATAAAGTGACTTCGGACCCCTTTCCTGGGCCCGCACACTTATTAGGCGTGTCTTCCCTTTTCATCAGGGCAACAACCCAGTGCAGTCATCCGGATTAATGCATCTTTTTAATGAACCTCTCTCACTCTCGCAAGCATTGGCGCGCGGATCAGCATTCTGTGTCGTTGCGACAGCCCTGAGGCTGTTGACTGGGTTTCTGCCTCGCTCCTTATCCCCCGCCCCCACCCCTCACTCACCACCACCCCCACCAACCCCCAACCCCCCCCGACAAACCCACCCACCCACCCCAACCTGAGTCATAATCAGCACCCGACATTAAAAAGGTCGTAATCCCAGAGCCATGTAAAGAATTACGAAGGCTGCCGCAGCTATTTATGGCAAGGGGACTGTCCCTTACTAACCTTCATCTACCCGAATCTAAACCCACTCCCCAGCCCCACCCACCCACCCACCCCACCCCATCCCCCACCCACGCCATCCCCCACCCACCCCAACCTCCCTCTGAACCGCAGCCACGGGGCGGGCCCTCCCAGGCCTTCTGCACCTCGCAGGCCTGCAGCGGGCACCGCGCCGCCCAGGCGCCGCAGTGACATCCCACCAGCCGCCCTGTCGGCTTCGAAGCCACTGGCGACAGGTCTTTCAGTCTTCTTGTTATGTTTTTTGCTTCCATGCCAAATATGGGTGTCACAAATCGGTCAACCCCGGAAATGGGGCACCCGCCCCACCTGACGTTTCGCGGGGTCCTGGTTCAGGCACTTTTTCGAAAAGGGACCGGGTCCCTGTCAGGTTCCATGGCAATTGGTGGAGGGTATAGGAGATCAAGTTGAGCCCTTGAGCTTTGCCGTGCTCTTGGCTATAAATGTGCAAAATGTTGCGCATGACAACTGGATGTACAAATGAACTGGAGATATGTACATCTATGCATTGTCTCTATGACTAGAGCCTAGGCTTCAAATTGGAGCCGGGATCATGCCATCATGTAGCGGCAAGGCGCTCGCCGCTCTCCCTGCAATTGACAACGTGTTATTTCCCTCCCCCGCTGCATGCGCGTCGTGTGGATGGAATACAATTTCGGTCCGCCCAATGTTCCCATTGCCAGCCGCATTCCAACTCCCGCCTGGGCCACCTTCCGCGGGAGCTGCTCGCACGTCCTTGCACTTCACAAAGCTCCTGGGCGACGAAGGCAGCGGTTAAGGCTTCAGTTCGCTTGCTGCTCACAGCTGAGCTAGCATGAAAGGGACTGCAGGCGGCTAGGCGCTCGAAATCATTCGAGCCTTAGGCTCAAAAAGCCACACTTCTTTGAACCTTGGGTGCCCTCACATGAGTGTCTTCTTTCTGAGGGTACCCTTTCACGGTCGGTTTAAAGGGGAACCAAAGGGAAGCCACCCAATTTGAGACAAACCCGTATGGGGGTCCCTTCCCAAAACAAAAAAGGGTGGCGTTCCTGCAAAACCACGAAAACGGGGTCCCATATTGCGACGAAATCTCAGGTCACCAAGGTGCTTCCCGCTCGCCATCAGCGACGAGCACTGCGAGGACAGCGCCCCCGCCGGCGCGGGCGCCGGCGCCGGCACCGGTGCCACGGCACCCGGGGCCGGGGCCGGGGCCGGGCTTGCCGCCAGGTCCACCGGGGACCTGGGAGCGACTGATCCTTCGAGCTGCATGTCTAGACCACACGAGGCCACGCTGCAATGTAACATACCATTCATGTGGTTCGCTTCCCCATACAGTCTGGGTGTACCCCAGAAGGCTCCGTGTCTTTTCTAGGGGACCCCCGAAAATGGGTGGTTTCCTTTTGGTTTCCCTGTGAAACCCACCAACAAAAAGGGGTTCAGCACAAAACCCACCCTTTTTGAGCAGCTCCCACCTGGGACCCTCCAAAAACCAGCACCCCTATCTAAGTATGTGACATGGGAAAGCCCCTACCCACATGTGTCCCTTCAAACGGACATCAGGCTATGAGACCCTAGAAACAACTCTCAAACACGTTTGGGTGACTGAAACTTCACCAACCTGAAATACTTGCCAGGGATCCCCTTGAAGGACACCATGGGGGATTCAGGGTCCTTCGCTCATTTTTTGCCGAACACCAGCAAGAATTGCGAAGCTCCAAGAACGTTGCATTCATGATCAAAAACATTGCCAGCTGCTTCGCCCTGAATTACCAGCGTGTCCCTCGACACTGCGACTTCGGGCAAGACCACGTCTTCCTCCGGCATTACTTTCGCCGTGCCGTCGTCGTTCACGTATTTCCACCTGGCAATCTCTACGCAAGGAAGAAACTTTTCATAGATCAGAAATCGGAATGGTCGTGCCCCCCTCTCCGAATTCTGCCCATTCTCTCAAACTCCAGCAGGTTTCTGGGGTCCACTTGGCTGGTCCACTTGGCTGCTCGCATGATCCCATTGCGGCCAGGCGGCTGGCCCTCGGTCAGTGAGGGCATCAGCCTGAGTTGGCAAAACGAGGGTAGCGCTTGCTGAAATTTTGGTCGAAACCTGAAGGAAAGTGAAAGGGACGGTTTTGCTTGCACCTGAGCCTCTTTTGGACTCAAATGGTCAAACCTCCAGCTCGGACAGGTGTCTGGAGTGGGGCACGCCAGAACATCCCACCAGTTGCAACCTGCAACCCCGTGCAACAAAAGGCATGTCCCATTGTTGTCACTTCCAGTCATGCAGGCTTCAAACCCACTATAATACACTGCAGCTTCCTTCCATTTTACTGGGGAGAATTGTCCAAACCAGGACTCCCGAAAGGTCAGGCCCCATCGCAACGTGGCCAGGAGGGAAATGAAAACCAACACCTTTTGGCGTATCTCCTTTTTGGAGGGCGCCTATTTTTTCGAGGGTTGGCTCAAACTTGAAACCAAACAAACTGAAACACCCTTGCGCCAGTTTTTTTGGGTGGGGATTCCCAAAAAAAATGCGCCGCGCAGGTGAAGCCAGTTTTGGGCGGGAATTCCCCAAAAAAAAAAGAAATGTGAAAAAATGAGCCGCGCAGGTGAAGCCCAGAGAACAACCCCGCTTGGGCCGCGGGGCATCTCCAGCGCAACCTCCTTCGTTGAAGGCTCGGCGCCCAGCGCCGATCGCTGGTCGTAGAACCTGGGCCCGCGGCTTGGCGCGGCGGCTTGGGGCGGAGGGAGGGCATGCAGGGGCGGAGGGGCGAAGCCTTTGGAGTGTCCAAATATCACCTCACTTCTGACGGCCTGAGATGCCTTTCAGGCGCAGGACTTGGAAATTGGAGCTTCAAAGATTTAACGTGTCGAAAGCTGTGAGGCTTCCTGAAAGTAGCTGCGGCCAAAAGGATAGAGCTTTAAAGAAGACATCAATCAGCGTGTTTGAGGGATGCTCACTTTGAAGCGGTGATAGATGTTTGGGCGCGCTTCGGCCACAAGCTAGAGCAAAAGGACAGATGCGCATCCTGTGAGGGATGCGTTTGAGCGCTCAAACGCAGCGCAGGGACGAACTCCGTTGACGCTTGGTTCGATCACAGCTCCGCCTTTCCAGGTTCCAGGTTAGGTTGAGAAGTTGAGGACCCGTTCTTTGCAGGTGGGACGGTTTTACCACCCTCTGCATTTTCTTGTGGCGAGTGGATCTAATGGTTTCTCTCCACTCTTGGTTTCATTTCTAGATCTCGTGCTGCATTTACTTTTGATGCGTGGTCGTAGGGAAAGGGCCGCAAATGAGTTACTTTCAGATGACCTGCAAAACAGAGGTATAGCCTTGTCTAGCATGGCAGGACAACGCATGCTGTCGGGTTTGCACCGCCCTGGCTTGCTGCCATTGCTGCCCTTGCTACATACTCCAGATGTAGTGGCACAAGAGCAAAACCTGGAAAGGGCAACACATCTTGAAGGGTGAGAGCAAATCTGTATCTTTCCCCAAGATGATGTGAGTTTCGTGTTAATGGAGTAGGTAAAGGAAATTATGTTTTTTTTACTGAGGGTCTCGGACGCTTTAGTTAACTGAACTTTAGTTGTGAGGCCTCGGTTTACGTGGCCCCCGTCATCCCCTCCCCCGGTCCTTGCAGCGGTTTGTCTCTCGGCGCCCCGGCCACATGGAGTTTTGGAAGGACTGCGCTTTGACGCCCTCGTCGCCATTCACAAAGATCCACCTGGGGCGACAAGTCAACCCTGGGCCTGAGGGGGCCCGCTCCAGCGATTGGCAGTTTTAAGCTCAACCAAGTTCAGATTCAAATATAAGACTGTGCAGGGCCTCCGAGTAGAGGATCTGCTGCTTTGTTGCTGGAAAGGGAACCCAATAGGAAAATAAACATGTTGTGAGCTACACTCCCCAAATCCCCTCGCCAGGGACAGCGGAAATGAGGGCAGCCTGTGGGGAGCCTCAGGTGCCAAACGCGCCAGCTTCTTTCCTTTTCTTTCGGACAAAGATCCAAGTTGCCAAACCGAAACCAGCCAACTGCCCGTCCGGCAGCCGGCTGCTGGGTCGGCCAGAACAGCTTCAAAGCAAAAAGATCCCCCACTGCCTGGGGGAAAAAGAAAGCGGCCAAACCTCATCCTGCCCTCTCCCCTCCCCGCGGTTTTGCTTGGCGCCAAATGCAGCTCGGCAGCTTGCCGTCGCTCAGAGAGGGCATGAGCCTCTCGCAGCGGGGTTGTTTGCGGGCCAATCGGTCGAAGGTGACTTGGGGGAAGGTCCTTAACACCCCCAGTTTCTGACTTTGATAAGCGCCACAAACAGTCAAAACAATGCCCCCAGTCCTTCCCTAGCAATGTTTCGCAAGGTCTCTCACCATGAGGCGGTGGAGACCCATGCAGCAGTGACAGTAGTAGTGCAGCCCAAGCCCCGGAAGTGAACCACTTGACAAAATACAACTTGACAAGCTGCCCTCAAGAAGTGAGACGTACGGTGTGGGCTCGAGATGGGGAATGCATATCTAATCTGAAAAAAGATCCAACTAGATCAATGGGCGGTGATGAGACCTTGACGTGGGTGACGTGTGCGTCCACTCCGAAAGTGTCAGTTGGACCATAATTTCATGCGTTGTGGGGAAAAGGTTTCCGGCCAAAACGGGGAAGCGGCACGAGGGGCAATGTACGTCGGCAAATGTGCGACAACGCCCAGAACGATGAAGGCAAACCTTGCCGGGCCAAGCCTCGAATTTCCGCCGACTCCAAGCACTTGCATTCATGTGGCTGCATGTAGATGACATTCTCAACTCAAAAAGTTGATCCAGGATGCTTCAGGCCTCCAATATATGAAAGCAAAACATAATTAAACTCAGAGATTCTTGGGGAAGAAGCTAAGTTTCCAGGTCGTAAGTCCCAGAACTTCGGCGGCAAAACTCCGAACTTGACAGATGACGTCTCTTTGAGACATTTATTCCTCCAACCAAGAGAAAAAGTAGAGAAGCGTGGCACTCAGCCTCCCACCCACTACACCAAACTTGCAAAATACTAGCACATCGGGCCGGCGCGAGCTTTTTGCGCGGGAGTTCGCAGTAGCTATCCCGGTATTCCAAGTTGATCCACTTGGCTTCAAGCCGTGTAGGCACCGAAGGGCAACGGGGGCTCCACACAGACCCCAAAATCTTTCACCTTTGGAACAAACCTCCGCTTTTGAGCGGGAAAAACACAAAATGTTGACCCCAACTTCGTCAGTTTGAGATGAACCTGGAAGGTCCCCAGCCCCTAACAGCCGCCAGGCACCCGCCGGCCTGGGCTCGGGCGGCAACGTCGTGGGCTGCGGCCCCGGCATGGGCGCCGGGGCTGGCGCCGGAGCCGCATCCAGGATCCTGGCGCTGCGAGAGGCTTTCAAACAGGATGGGTTGCGCAGCATGTAGGAGTCAGTATTCGTAATGCACAGCATAAAGAGACTTCATAGTGGCCCTGGTAGATGATTAAACCACCAGGTGAAAAAGAAGGGTTCCAAGGTGAAAAAAAGGCGGGCCCTAAACCAGGGCCATCTATTTTTCGACCAAAACAACCAAAAAGGACACCTATGCTCCATAGCAGTCAGTCTTCGTAACTCAATGAGTTGGTGTGTTGTAGTCCACTGGTCTATCAGTCTGATCTTGGTGCCGCTTCTGTTGGAAGCTGATAAACAAGACCTGGAAGGTAGGCGGTTGCTGCGGCCGCGTCGAGAGGCTTCTGCCGAGGCCTCTAATAGCTCTCCTGCCACATTGTTTGTCCTGGAAAGACTCCAACACAAGCTTTTATCGGGGGCTGGATGTGGAACGGCGGAAAAACGAAGAAGAAGCTGGGTTCTGCACCTAGGACTCGGGATGTTCCCTTCCGCCCCGCTCCTTTTCTCAAAGCTCGGCGGCGGATCCGTGGGGTCCATGATCTTTATGGCAGGGCCTGAGGCGAGCAGTGCAGAGCACCCCCTTGCTCTTGGGTTTCAGGAAGGGCGCTGTACCGAGGCGATTGTAAACCCGGAGATTTGGAGCAGGGAGGACTTCCTCACTTCGAAGTTTGCGTCTTGCCTCCAAAAGTCTCACGGGAACCTTGGCGGCATTTTCGGGGCAGTCCCATGAAGTTTCGTGACTTTCGAGGCGAACCAAAGAGTTGGGTTCCTGTGTTCGTTCTTTCGATGCTCCAAATCATTTGTACCCCTACTTGCCTCAGAAACTGGAGCTGAAATGAGTTCGCCTCACATGGAAAGTCACCAAAGGGGATGATGTAAATCCCACATCGACGTGAAGCAGCCGAACTGTGTTTTCTTCTTCTTCGTTTTCTTCTTCTTCTTCTTCTTCTTCTTCTTCTGCTTCTTCTTCTCCTCCTTCTTCTTCTTCTTGCTTTCAGCAACGCACAATATTGGTTCTCCTTTAATAGCAAATACAGGCACATTGGGTTCTCGTCGCCTCCCCAGGCAAAGCATAGACATTGTCTGTTGTCATCTCATCTTTAATCTAGTCATGTCGACGGATTCATAATCCCTCCCGATGAATAAATAAGTGCTTCCCAAAAAAAGTGATCCGGATCCCCCAACCCCCCGAATTGAATGGGGCGGTCCCTCCAAATCAATGACGGCGCGTCCCAACCTGTGGCTGTGGGTCAAGAGTAGGTACCCACCCTGGTAAATGGCAACAATGACTAAAACCGTCCTCTGGTGGTTTGATTTTGAGCCATCATACCCATGTAATTCCCGCCCATGTCCCAGGCCTGGAGCCGGGCCCGGGGCAGCCGGCACCTCTGCAATTTGGCAGACCCCAGTGGGCAGGAACCATCCGCGGGAGGTAAAACACGAATTCCGACAATTGGTGCCTCAGTAGATAACCAGAAACCATGGTCGGTAGACAACGCATGCTTCTTCTCATGGTGGGCTGCTGACCCCGCATGCCTGTTTGGAGAGAAGTTCTTACTGCAAAGCAGCAAAGTCTCTCGCCCTTGGAATGCGGAACAAGGGGAGTATCAGCTGATTAGATTTTGTTCTGCGGGGCGCAAAGATCAATCAAGTTTAGCGGCGCGCATCAAAGAGGGATTCTTCACTAAGGCGGGGGGTCGTCATTTTCCGAAGCGATTCGTCCAAAGACAGACCTTGCACCCATCTACATTGAAGGCAAATTCTAGAAGGGAAGAGGAACCGGTTCTGGAGGGGTGACATAGGCACACATGTCCCAAGATACAGCGAAGGGTTCATGAAGGGATTGCTTAGTGCAATTCCACTTGTCGAATATCTGTTTGTCCTGTTGGAGAAAACATGGGGCTTCCAGGTCTCCCTCCCATTCCCCTGGCTCCCAACAAGTGCCTCAAAACTCAGAAAACACAAGAATGTCACATCTTTTTCTGGTATCAGATCAGCATTGCGTCCAGACAAGTGTAGCTGTATCAAAACCCGGAACCCCAAGAGGGTGTTTGGAGCTGAGTCGGCATGATCTTTTGAAACGCGTAACTCGCCCGCAGGGGTGCGTCCAGGAGCACCATGCGCAGGCGCCATAGCTAGGGTATTGCCAAGCGGAGCACTCATTTCCGCGATTTACCATAGCTTCTGGTGTTACCGTGCAACTTTCTTCTTGCAAGGAAACCGATGCTTTCATGCGCAACTGTGTACTTCTTGCGGACGGAAACAAACCCGGCGTCCGAAGATCCGGTCTGTATGGCCGCCTTGGAATCTATTGGGACCCTCAGGGGCCCCAGTCTGCCAGCACCCCCTCCAGGCGAAATTGGGAAAAAGCACCTCCCCAGATCTTTCGTCTGCCAATTTCCACTTGGGACCTCCCCCAAAGCGGGATTCCACGCCGGACCCCAAGCCGGAATAAAAAGGAAGGGACAAATTCCACATACCTCACCACCGGAGCGGCACCTGCGCATCGCGGAGGCCTCGCGGCAGACTGGGGTTGGCACCACTAATTTGGTAAGAGGGCATACCAGAACCAAAATGGCATCTCTCCGCGGGTGGGGAGGTAAGGAAAATTCACTAAACCAAAATGGGGAGAGCAAAAGGGAGAACTAAACCAACATGGGGGGGGAGGGGGGTTAGGCACCATGTGCCCTTTGCCCAACACGACCCAGCCCCTTCCCCCAGCTCAAACCGCAGGCGGCTGGAAGTGTGGGTCCCTTCCCCCCCCCCACCTAATGCAAAGGTCCATTTTGAGCAACATTAAGTATGAGGCGTTCTTCATCGCCTGGTAGCAGATGGGTTCATCAAGCCTTGATTGATCTTTGCCTGGCACACAGCCCCCACAATGATTGATGCTCAATACAACCTCTCCGAACAAATAAGCGTCCAGTCAATGCGATTGTTGAAGATTCGACGTGACTCATAGTACATGGGTGGCTCTTTTTTAGGGAGGCCCAAGTTGGCCTTTTGGTTCTCCTTTGAGACCACCAAAAATGGGGTACCCTCAAAAAGGACAGACCCACATGGGTTCTCGAAGTGGTTGTCGTACAGTTTGTAGCCACCTTGGGTTTCTACCACGGGCGAACTGGGAGGCTGCTCACTTGGTGTTGGTGCAGCACAGGCCGCCCGATGTTTTGCACATGGCCGCCCCACTTTTTTAAATAAAGGGCCTTGGCCACTTGGCCTGGCCAAGACGTCCATGACTCTTGAACGCAATCGGTCAACGTGTTTGGCCACATGTGGCTTACATTGCTTCCTTCAAGGAGCAGCCCTGGATGCAAGTCTTTGTGTCAGTCGTTTGGTCGAACCTTCAAAGGATTAACTGCTTAATAAGGCTTAATAAGCCTTGATAAGGCTTATTAAGGCTTATTAAGGTTTAAGAATGCTTAATAAGGCTTAACAATGCTTAATTTGGATTCGGGCATAGTTCCTCAAATCTGGGGAGGCCCTCCCTCGCGAGGCTCTTCAGGGACACATGATTTATTATAACCCAACCCCAATTCTAATCACAATTGAGAGTGATGTTTCAGTGCTTTGTGCAAGGCCATGAACATGTTTGCTAGTGCATGGAGTCATCAACGTATATGTTCCAGATCCAAGACGTGCCAGACGTTACCAGAATCTGCGCGGGATGATCAGTCGTTTTGGTGCACGTGTTTGACATGTATTGTAGCTCGGCTTCGACAGAGGATCGGTTTGGGATTGCGGGCCCACCCATGTCTTTTGAAAGGTTCTGAAATTTCTCATTTGCAATCATGGCCTCTGACAGAAGCCCAGGGCTGGCTTCCTTTTACAAAACCAGTCTTATTAAGCCCGTTCTCAATGAAGAAACATTCGAAACAAATTGACTGATTGACCGCTGGCTGGCCAATTGCATCGAATCCTAGAACATCTGCCCCAGAATTCAAGTTGAGGCACACTTTGAAAAGACCGTTGTTTCTTTTTGAGAAGTAAGAGGCGTGGTAGGGGGAGGGCAGGGGGGGGGGCTTGATTTGGGAGACTGGGTTGCCCTCAACATCTCACTGGTGATCTAAACCACCTCACTTGGGAATCACAGAAGGTTTGGCTTCTCGCTCCTCCCACAATTGCCGCAGCAGTTTCCTTTGCGCTTGGCGCAGTGGAGCAATTGCAGCTTGATTTGAGCAAAGTACCCCAACAACGATCGCACATCATGAAGCACACAGAAAACCTGAACCAGCATTAAACCTCCCTCGGCAGGCTCTTCAGGGACACATGAATAAAACTAACTTAAGTCAGGGTCATAAGTTGCTAATTGGGCCCGTTTGATCACATGTTTTTCATGCCAGAATACCTCCTGCGCACTGCCATTGCCATTACAAAAAAAAAAAAAAAAACATATTCATGGTATGGGTTCACCCAACCATTCAACCCACGCGGATGCCCCAAATATTGCAAGTAAAGCAACAACTCTCAACCACACCACGGCAATTTCGGGTTAGTCAGAGGGTGTCATTGTTCCCTTACTTGCTGACACTATTCAGCCTCTTGCGTTCCCTGCCCTCCCCCAAAAAACAAAGAAAAAAGGGGGAGGGGGGTCCTTTTAGAATCTCAACAGGGCATCTCAACAGGTAACATGGTCCTTTTAGCAGGGTTCCCCGATTTCACATAACCATCCCTGCGCGCCACTCTGGCCCCCCCCCACCCGCCCCGACTCAGCCTGCCCGGAACTGGCCCACCTTGTGGCTCCCACCTCACCAAAACCGGGAAAACGCGGAACCCATGGGTTCGCTTGGTCCAACGGTGTTGTATAATTTGGGTCCAAGTCCAAGGAATCTCAGTTGCATTGGGTTGAATGGTGTGGGTTCAAGGGTGTGTGTTGAATGGTGTCTCTTGTTGGTACTGCTTGGGTGCAATAGTTTGGGTTGAATGTTTTACGCTGAATGGTTCCTTTTGTTGGTATAGCTTGGAATAGTTCGCGTTGAATGCTTCCTTGTGTTGGTACAGATTGGGTTGCATGGTTTGGGTTGAATGTTGTTGGTATAGCTTGAGTTCAGTTGAATGTTGCTGGTATAGCTTGGGTTCCATAGTTTGGGTTGAATGGTTTGCCTCAAATGGTCTATTTTGCTGGCTTGAACGGCTTGCTTTTCGTGGCTTCCTTTGTTGCTGTGGCTTGAATGGTGCGCTTTTTGTTGGTATACATCGGGCTGAATGGCATGGATTCAACGGCTTGGGCTGAAAGGTGGGAGCACTCCGTCCACCAACTTCCGAGGCCCCGTGCTGAGCGGAAGCAGCAGCAAGAGCTCCAGGAGCAAACCTCGGAACGGAGCTTCCGCGTTTGATCCAGCCCTGTAGGATAGGGAGTACCAAAAGGAAATCCACAAAAAAGAACAGGTGAAATCCACAAACAAATCCACAAACCCCTAGAAAAGGACCAGGGAAAAGAACAAGTGAAATCCACAACACGCGCATCCAAGCCGTTCTCCAGAGCAACCCGCAAACCAAATACCATTGGTTTCTTGGCTGCAACGAGACATGCGGAAACCATCAGTCATCTTTGGATCGACTTCATGCCCTCAGGATTTGGAGATAGGGGAACAGCTTCCCTAGTAGTATGAGGTCAACCCAAACATTGACAAGGAGTCAACCCGACTGTCCTGGCTGTGCAACGGGGTGTGATGTCGATATCCAACCCGATACACAGAGTAGCTGATACATGCGGAGAAAAACAAATCCTTGGCCGTTCATCCCCGGACATGGCGCTGCTCAACTGGGAATTTGTCGAAAGAAACGTTCCAAGCCCTCCCAAGGTTCGGTCTCCTTTTGGTTTCCTCTTGGGAGTGTCAAAACAGGATGGATCCAACAAAAATATGGGTTTCCCTTTGTTTTCCCTTCAAACCAACCACCAACCGAAGAGGCCACCATTCGCCTCAAAAACGGGGAGAAAAATAAAGAAAGAAGAAAAAGAACACGGGACCCTGAACCGCCGCTTGCCGGGGTCCCCGCGGAACATCGGAGTGCGGGCCACCTGAAGCGCCTCGCGCGCGGCACGGATGGAAGCCGAAGGCCAAAGGCCATGGCTTTGCGGCTGTCCCAAATGTTGGAACTGGAAAACAAAAATCGGGAGGGAGGGAGGGAGGGAGGGAGGGAGGGAGGGAGGGAGGGAGGGGAGGAGAGGTAGGGAGGGAGGGAGGGAGGGAGGGAGGGAGGGAGGGAGGGAGGGAAGGTGGGGAGGAAAGGAGGGAGGGAGGAGGGAGGGAGGGGAAGGGGGTGGAAACGGTGGACATTCAAACTCTCAAGTCCTGACCAAGGGAAATGGAACAACAGGGGCTGTCATGGATGTCAATGGTGGCAGGTTACTTGGGGTAGAAACAACCAACCAAAAAGAAGGGGACAAAAGGCCGAAAGGGAGCCATCGGATGCCCTTCCTCCGCAAACAACTCGATTCCCAAGGAATTAGTTTGCCTTGGAAACCCAGGTTGCTGTAAAAGGATCCCAATCAAAAGTAACTCCGCAAAAGAACGGAGCCATTCGTCAGAACAATTGGCTATGTGCCTTTGGACCCCCAAAGCGGTGGTCATCCTTTTGGATTCCCTTAAAACC